CTGGGAGGAGGAATGGGACTACAATGCCAAGACTAACTGGATCAGAATGCAGCTTAGGGATAACAATAAAGCTTTCAACAGGCAAAAGAACCCTAGGACTGTGTCATCAGATGAGAACTCATGATGCATTAACGTTGAGGGCTAGACATTTATACGGAGGATTAATTATTGTAACAAGTAAATGGAAGTCAAGAATGTAATAAAGCAAAACTAAAAGAGCAAGACTAAATGTGACAAACTGACAATGTCACAATAGTCGAGGACTAAAATTGAAATTTGCTCTTTTAAATTTTGTCGATGGATATATTGGACTCGGACCAATGAATACGGAGTAGGACCTACTCGAGAGAAAAGAAGACCCGACCTAAGACGAGGGAGCACGACAATCAACTTTGAGGTCGATCCAAGGTAGGCCAACTCGGGTCAGTGAGGTTGGTTAAGCAAAGTGGGGAGGTCGGGTCAATGAAACACGATTGCCAAGAGTGGAGATAAGATCAATGAGACGCAATCAGTTGGGGTGATTGCAACTGCTTGCTTTGCACCCGGGGAGAGGGGGGTGGGGGGTGGGGGTGCACAAATCGCGTGGGTAGTTGCCGAAACGTATCTCGTATAAATAGTATTGATTTTGTTTTGTTTAGACATTTGGATTCATTGTGACACATTCTTCTTGTTTTTATGTTTTTAATAATTTCATTTAATTGGGTTAGTTAATTTGGTTTGACCCGTGTAAATTTTCTTCATTATTCGTGCTTTCATTGAAAGCTTGTCCGTGCTCTGTAATTTCTTTATCTTTCATCCCACAAAACTACTACTTCAACCATGGTGAGATTGAGTTCACACAACTCCCTTGCAAGGTCGACTAGGAAAACCACAACCACCCCATTGTTGATTCTAATCCAGCCAATCCAGGACTTCCAATCCGGAGTAGCCACAACCCACTCTTTGTATCTTTGGGGTTGGGGTGGGGGTGAGGGTGGGGGTGGGGTGGGGGGAGGCTGAGCATGACATCAACCGTGACCCCGTTCCCACTTGGGCCAAATGAAACACATCAAAGTTGACCTCGCTTGGCCAGGGATACCGAGGTGGAGGTTGAAGTCAATTCGTCTAGGAGGTCAAAGCGACATGACATGGATAAATAAGCCTAAGCTATAATTAACGTTACAAATTACTCATTTTTCGTCCTTAAGCTATAATTAACGTTACAAATTTCATCATTTTAATAACAGGTCATCCTCACTTTTAGTCCCTAAGTTATACTAACGTTGCAAATTTTGTCCCTAATGTTTTGTTAGCTTAGGGACGAAAAATGATCACAATCAACAATTAGGGACGAACTCAACAACTATCCTATAACTTGAGGACGAAAATTGTAATTTTTCCTATTAAATATTATAATGATACAATAGTTGAGGACTAAAAGTGAGATTTGTTCATGATACTAAAAATGTGATCTTTTGATATGACGAGAGAAATTCGTAGTCATTATTTAAAGATATACATTGAATAAACTCTACTTTTATGTAATAGTCCACAAATTATATATGAGATAAATCACATAAAAAATACTATGCAATAATTTCAACTAAAATGGATCGGAGTCCCATTGTAGAGCAAATGTGTGGTAACTTTAACCATACATATTGTATGGTCACGGCTTAAATTATAGAAATTGATGACCCTGGCCTGTCATATCTTGAATCGTAATGTGGACAAGACAACAAGGAAACGCTGGAAAGCTGATACAGGTGATATATATCTATAGGGTCTTCTTCCTGCGAGATCAGGTCTTCCCGTGCGGTCAGTGCGGCATACACCATTAGGTAATGCAGAAATGCACTACACAGTGTTCGTAAATACACCATTATCTGTGGTGTATTTTTTTTGTGTGGTATATTTTTTGACATTTCATTCTGATGTATTTTCAAATACTATATGGTGCATTTATGCATACCTAATGGTGTATGCCGCACTGACCGCACGGGAAGACCTGACCTCACACAGGAATCAAAATCTATATATATATATATATATATATATATATATATATATATATATATATATATATATATATATATATATATATATATATATATATATATATATATATAGAGAGAGAGAGAGAGAGAGAGAGAGAGAGAGAGGCGAGTTCAGGTGCGGCAGTGTCTTACAGTGCGGCGGTGCGGCAACACCAATAGTTCAACAAATATGCACCATCAACGTTAGGAAAATACACCACACAAAACAGAGTAAACAGAGCCCCGCATCACCAAACACACACCATTAAGTGTGAGTAAAAACACCATACACTGTTCGAAAATACACCATTGGGGGTGGTGAGTTATATGGTGTATTTTTTTTGAGTCTCTTGTGTATTTTGTGATGTTTTATTGCATTTCACTGTGGTGTGCTTTCTTACACTGTTGGTGCATATTGTTAACACTGTTGGTGTATTCTGGAATTCCGCCGCACCGCCGCACGGGAAGACCCCGCCGCATTTGAACTTTATTATATATATATATATATATATATATATATATATATAGGCTCCGGATCCCATGAGGTCACATATGTAGATGGGTGTATGAGATCTAATCATATCCATTAGATCAATGAATATTTAAGGGTGAGATTGGATTAGAATCTGTATGGATTTTAGGAGGTAGTATAGGCATAAGGGTGAATAAGTAATTGTAATGTAATAAGTATTTATGGTTACAAATAAAATGGAATATATTCCATGATTAGCATCCGATTTTTGTTATTGTAATATATATTTACGGTAATGTAATAGAATTGATATTGTGATGATTCCTTAACGCAAGCCATCACCATACAGTGCGAAGGAGCAGTAGTTGTAACGAGCTCAAAGATGGTGCTGCCGGACATAGGTATGTGCATTTTAGTTTTTGTTTTTTTTTTAATATTTTTTATTTTTATTTTTGTTTTCCTGTGAACATGTCTGTGCATCATGTATTGAAGTGTTATTGGATTCTAGTAGGGTGTGCTTCTATCACTATGCGTCTGTGCGTCGAGACACCTATTGTTTTCCAGGCGTGTTTGTTTGTTTGTTTTTTTTTTCCTTTTCTGTCGCTATTTTGGTGTGAATTTTTTGTTCAGTATCCACGTACTGTATAGCGTAAGGTGTTATGTGCAAAATCAAACGAAGGTGTGTGCAAATGACAATCCGTTATTTTCAATAAGGTGGTGAGTAACGAAGTTATTTCTGATGTGTTTTGGTTTCATAGCGTTGTTTGGGTGGAGTAAGTACTTATATTATTTGGAGATACCAAGTCAAACACATTTACGTATTAGAACACATATGGTATGAGTTGAGCGTGCGATAGTTGATTTGTTTGTGCAATGCTGTTATCATTCACATGTATATCAAAAATGTCATCATCACTGATGGTGGTGACGCGTTGGAGTATCCATGTATTTGTGTTGTTTTTTAAAAATGCTTCACGGGTAGTATAATTTATATGTACTCATGTATAATCTAAAAAGTGTTTTGTTGGATTATGAGCGGTCTGTGCATCAGTGGGGTGTAGCATGTGCATTGTGGGTTCTGTGTTTGTGCAAAATATAAAATGAGCATGTGCAATTAAAGTATAACTACTTACGCTTATAATAATTATTTTGTTGATTAAAATATTACGCGTGGGTTATTATGTACATGTTGACGAAATGTATGGTACAGGTTTGTGCAGTCCAGACGAGGTCAATGCAAACGAACCAGAAAGGGATTGTAGAATGGATATTAGCCCGGGAGGTACGAAATATTGGTATACAGAATGCGACCGTAGTCTGAAACCATATGAAGGTCAAATGTTTAACACACTAGAAGATGGAATCAAATTTTATACAATGTATGCCGCAACAACCGGATTTGATGTGCGTCGAAGTTCGGATAAATAGAACGGTTTTGGTATTGTTTTGAAAAAGGATGTTGTGTGTTCGAGGCAAGGTTTTAAGGAGGATAGGGGCAAAGAAACATTGGGTGAAGGAGGGGGGTCAGAGAAGAAGAGAAGGCGGACCACTAATAGAGTTGGTTGCGGGGCAAGGATTGTAATGAAGATAGTCCCCGACGGGAGATATAAGGTACACAAATTTGAAGAAAGACACACACATTGCCTGTGCGAGGAAAGTTAGAAACCACTTATGAAAGTGAATAGCAAAATTGAGATTGCACACCAAGAATTCATTACCAAGTGCGAAAAGCAAACGTTGGTGCAAGCAAAAGTTTTGACATATATGCCGAGATCGTAGGGGGGGCGGAGAATGTGGGTGCGACGCAACAGGACTTCAAGAATTACAGAAGAGAGCTATTAGCGTACATGAAGTGGGGAGATGTGCAAATGGTTATATCAAATTATCTTGAGCAGAAAACAGATTGTGCTGACATGTACTTCGAGTACGAAGTGAACGCAAATGATCAATTGTCTCGTGTATTCTGGGCGGATGGTATGGCAAGGAAAAACTATGGTGCGTTTGGTGACGTGGTATCCTTTGATGCAACATACAAAACAAATAGGTATGAGAGAGTTAATTTAAATAGATGGGTGTGTAGATTTTAATTCGTATACTGGAACATAATAATATGATAAGCGTTTTAAGTATGGCATTGCGTGTGTGTAAGAGAGGATTTTACTCGCACAATGCATGGATATATGTGAAACAACGTATAACGTAGGTGAAGGGATGTTTTTGCGTGGGTTGTAAGTTTGTGCGTGATTGTAGTATGTCTGTGCATGTGTTTGCGATGTGTGCGATTGATTTGTTTTGCCAAATTTGTGACACCCGATTAATTGGTATGTAATGAATGCAGGTACCACCTTGTGTTTGTTCCATTCACAGGAGTAGACACCCACAAACGATGTGTGACGTTCGCAGCGGCCCTGATTGATAAGGAGGACGTGGAGTCGTACAGTTGGGTATTAAACCACTTCAAGAATGCAATGGGGACTGCTCCACCTATAGTAATAACCGATCAAGACTAAGCTATGAAAATTGCAATTGCAGATGTGTTTCGCGGTAGTCGTCACCGTTACTGTATGTGGCACATCATGACTAAGGTTAGCGAGAAAGTGGGTGCTGAGATGTCAAAGAATAATGAGTTCCGGAGGGCATTGAATAGTGTTGTGTGGAACGAGAAAGCAACGAGAACAGAATTCGAGATCGGGTGGAAATTCGTAATCGGGAAATACAACCTACATGAAAACCGATGGCTAACGAGTATGTACGAGGAGCGTGCGTCATGGGTGCCCGCATTTTGCGATGATGTGTTCATGGGAGGGCTGCTACGTACCACTTCCCGTTCAGAGGCGGAGAATAGGATTTTCCAGGGTAACATGAATAAGCACCTATGCCTGGTAGAGTTTTTCACCCGTTTTGAGCGTGCGGTAAGAAAACACTGAAAGAACAACCGAGAATTGACCGCAAGTAGCATCGGGCAGACCCCAGTATTTGAGACAAAACTACGAATAGAGCGATCAGCCGCCACAGTGTACACTTTGACTATTTTTTATGAGGTCCAAAAGGAAATAAGTGCAGGATGTTTTAAATGTCGAGTTCGATCATACACTGAGGCAGACGGGTTGAAGACATATATGGTTGAGGATGAAAATGAGCAACGATACACAGTCATAGTGCAAGATGGAAGCAACATAGCATGCACATGCAGAATGTACGCAAGAGTAGGTCTCCTTTGTAGCCATGTTTTTGTCGTACTCAAAGATGAACGTATCGATGACATCCCCCCACAACATATTACACCGCGATGGACGCGAGACGCCGTGAAGCACTCCCCCACTGATACGGACGGAGATAAACAGAACGGTTGTAACACTTTTAGGCAATGCAACAATGAGGAAGGACAAATAATGAATATATTTCATAGATGTTTGGGCAAGGCTAAAGGAAGACCAGAAAAAATGAAGGAGATAAGACTGTGGATGGAAGAGTTTGAAGCAACATTCGGGGAGCACGAAAGAGCCGATTTGAATGTAAGTGGGAAGCGTGCAATAATGGAGTCGTATTGCGGCGTCGTAACCCCAAAGACAATAGAAGTGCATCCTCCACCCGTTGCAAAAACCAAAGGGTCTGGCAAACGAATGAAATCTGCAAGGGAGATAGCAATGACGGAGCATTATAAGAAAAAACGCACATGCAAAACATGTGGACTAGCCGATGGCCATAATAGCAGAAGCTGCCCGTGAAAGTAGTTGATCTATTATTCCGTTAATAATTAATACACAGAACAAAAAACTTTTGCAGAATAAGTGTTTTTTTAAGATTCTAAGTTGAATAAATGGTGTGGGTACCGTATGTGCAAATATCCTGGTGAGCGTGTGCAGTATGCGCTACGTTAAATTAATTATATACGGTTGGTGCATGATATTGTGATACATTTCGCGTTGTTACTGGCATGGACTAATGAGGTAAAACACCCACGATAAAAATAGTATTTGAGTTAAGTGTAGTTAAAAATGAAAAGAATAAAGTCTGAGAAATCGAATAATAACGACTCTACATAGATTGAATGAATAAGGACAATATGACCGGAAAGTTTATAAATATTTTGATTGTGCCGAACCGAGCGAGAGTAACCGTTACAGCTGTAGCAAGAATACCGATACAGACATGCAGTAGCAGTGCTTAAGTAGCCATATATATATATATATATTAAAAAAATTTATAAACTAAGTGAATTCGATAAAACAAGACAGCAGAACGTTCGAGTTGATTAGGAAAATGCTTAGGTGATAAATTGTAAACGGCGAACGAAATAATAAAAAATTAAGCAGAGAGCTACGATGCAAAGAATATTGGTAGCACGTGCAAAAGTGCGTGTAATAGTTGGAGCACAACTAATCGTATAAAATGTAGGCACAGTAATTCGAAAATGCAATTTTGAAAATGAACTATATTAACTGTTTGCAAACGTTTACCTATGCAAATGAACCTTTAGAAATGATTAAAAAGATGCGTGGATGGTAAAGTGAGAATAGAAGTAAATGCCTAAGTGTGCGATGGCCAGTGCGTGAGAGGTAATGTCTGACTCGTATCAAAAGTGGGCAAGAGTGTTCGAAGAGAGCAAGGCAACGGGGGAATTTTGTTTGGGTGTGGGCAAGTGAATGTCCGGGTGCGTGCGAGTTTCCGATTGATTGAAACAGTAACATGGATGCGTTTTTGTTATTAAATTTATAAGTGTAAGTTGGCCAGTGCGTGCGAGATAATGTTAGAGTCGTAGCAAACGCTAGCATATACCATAAACACGTTCCTAGATTCAATGTTGAAATGGTATTTTATGTGCAACTTCGAAAACTGATGCGTGCAGACATGAGAGAGATGGGGGTAGGGAATATGTTTAACGGCAATTGGGTGTGTTTGTTAATACAAAGCAGTAGATATACTACTATTGTAAACAGTAGCAGTAATCAATAGTACACTGCACGAACATCATAAGCAACGGAATACAGAACAACCCGAAATAGATATCTAAATATTGAAAAACGGATGAGTAATGTTTGCGAATTAAGCAAAATATCCATTTATGCAAAAAATGTAGATGCGGTAAACAACTGCCAGATGTAAGTTTTCCATTCACCACCTTTCAGTCACTGAGCACAAGCAACACTGTTGACAATGATTTGGCGACGCGTATTTCTATGAAATAGAAGAATTTCATAGATATACTGCACGCGGAGAGCGAGCAAAGCCCGCGCGTCACCCCGGGTAAGACCGCAATCCCACGAAGCAATATACTGACCAATGTACGTCTCCATATGACGCATAGCAAAAACCCCACAGTCCACCTTATTTTTTGTATCACGCCATGACATTCGGACTCTCCTTGGGATTAGTTGCAACACCTTGACATAAAGTTCCGGATAACCAGCATCCTCAAAGAAGACCGATATGACATCTCTCTGTAAAAAGTAAACAAATGGTCAATGCGGCAAACGAATACCGTGATGACTATAATATAACGAAGCGACATCTGTTTAAAAGTAAAACACCAACAAACAATAAGGATAAATTAATACCAACACAGACGGGGTATCCCCGTACTTGGCAAGAGATACCCCATCCGCAGATGAGTTATCGATGAAATCAAACTTCTTGCGCCGAATGTCAACAGCAACGACGTAATAATGCGCCTTATCTATTATCGGAAAGATCAACTGCGAAAAAACGTGTACATATACATAAATCTGTAATGCAAATTTAAAAGAAGAAAGCAATAATCACAAAGGTAAATGGCACATATACATAAAACTGTAATGCAAAAACATGAATGTATTAGAGCGTGCACTAACCATGTCAATATCCGACCATAACTCATATGGTGACACCTTCAAATCGGCCTCTAACGCAGCAGAAAACAAACGCAGCTGGTTAGACCATGTGGTTGTGCATTCAACTACCGAGAACAACTGCAATACAAAAATTCATTATTATCGAAATTAAGCGATTTGTACGGGGAAAAGATGCGACCATCCAAACGAGGATTGACTAACCGTTGTGGTTGGGGATGCAAATAACTGCTTTGGTGCACCAACTGGTTTGGAACTCTCACGGGCATTCAAAATGCAGGACCACGCACTCAGCACACCCACAAGCACTTCGTTCCCCCCCAACAGTGACAGAAATTCGCACCGACGAGCAGAACGGCCACAGTAGTTAAATAATTCTGCCGTCCTGCATCATTATAATCAATAAATTAAAAAAACATAATACGTCGAAATCCCCGAACGACGAAATGTAAGAAAGCAAAAATGCTTACAAGTCAACATTAGCAGTACGAGCAACCCAATCATAGACCGCTTGAGGATCAACATTATTGGCACCATGCATATTGGCAGCGCGAGTCCGCGTGAGGGGCGCATACGAATTGAAATCGATTGTGCGCAAAGCACCAACATCGTGCGCTACACGTCGTGAAGCCTTGACTGGTGCAGCACGCATTGGCGGACTGGATCCCACGCCCTTGCACGGACCTAGCGTAGCGTTTTGCTACGTCATGGGAACAACCCAGAGATGGATATGTATGTAGAAAAGAAATTATAAAAAGGGTGGGGAAGACGAAACGAGGGCGACAACAATACCTCAGGAGGAGTCGAAAAAACATTATGAGAGGTTGTACTACGTACACCACGCCCACGTGCAGTCACGACCCCATCCGCACCGACACCCCCAACAGACTGTGCTTTTGGCGCAACCGAGATGTGGTGTTCTAACGCGCGCACCTATTACGAACATCGTTCAGGGTAGGAGAGGATTGAGAGTGACGGAATAATTGTGGGCCGAAAGTAGGTATACAGATAACAAAACGGCATCCACAGTAATACTTACAGGTATACAAGGTGCAGACCTACTACCCCCGGTTGGAACATTTGACGTATCACCCACATATTCGCGCACAATCGCATCCACCTCCTCCCAACATTGGGTCTGGAGATCTTGGGACAACCCATAACTGAACGACGAACCCTCATCACATCCCTAATAAACGCATAGAGAACAATAAAATGAGCTGTGGTTGCATAGCAAGAAGAATTTATGTGTGACAGACCCAAAATAAATGCCCACCCGCAGTTAGTAAAGCAGGGACAACAGTTATACAACACACCTGCACCATACAGAAAGTACAGTACCATGCGAGCACAACTAACATACCAGTCAACATAAAAAAAAAACCCACTGACAGGTGTAGGCAAAAAACAAAGAGTATACCATCAACATACAACCTACACCTGCTTAACTTTCCTGCGCTTGTACACAATCATACTTACAACAACTTGGGTTTCGGCCACGGGACCCCCCGATGACTCATGCACAGACACCTGATCATGCTTTGGTGGCACACCACCGGCACCATCAATAATAGGCCCCACCTGCTCATCAACAACGCATGGTCCCGTATGTGGGAGTACTGAGGGATGGCTACCATCTTGTACCGCCCTAACCGCATCATCCACTACCTGAAAGCTTTCCGGGTTACTCCAAATCTCATCTCCACTAGTCGGCGTGACACCGGCCGGATTTGTAACGCCAACTGGCACTGTAGATGCATGAGTCTCAAACAAAGAAATAATCTTCCGTGCACCGGTTAATACACGCAAAACGCTATCAGTGCGGGTGGAGCATTGAGGGTGAACGCCAACAAATTGCACAACATCATCCAACGCAGCGTCTAATGAGCACATCTTCGCAACAAACAATTCCCCTGGCGCCTGGACAATTTCAACGGATTAAAAATTTAAAAAAATTGTGATGAAAAATAAGAAACTAATACCATATAAGCGCATTTAAAACTAAAACGACTAGTGAAAAAGCATTGAAAAACAAAACCATACCATGAACAATCATAAAATCAGCACGAACACCGAAAAAAAATGCACACAATCATAAGGGTGTAACCGTAAATCATATAAAACAATGGTAGTAAAATAATACACGACCACCGAAAGACCACAAGATAGTTGACGCTCGAATTCGCACACACAAAGTAACAGATGTACGAGAATATGAATAAGCGCAAACAGACTATGGCATCACATAACTGGAATTGAGTGTGTTTATTTCTAAATTCATTAATTAGACCCAACATTATATAAAAATAAAAATAAAAAGGAAAAACTGTTAAAATTTGAGAAATTAATTTAAAAAAAAAAAGAAAATACAAAACACATCATCAACGCAACGACCATATAATCAACCAGCACACACAGTAAACATAATTTGTTTAAAAAAAAAAACACAATTGGCATAGACCCATGCGTGAACAAGAAAATGTTAAACAATAACCACACAACATATATCAAAAATGTTAAAACTCATAAAGCTTGTTAAATGAATAAAAAAATGTTACAAAAAACGCAATGTCATAGGCACGCACCATGCAATCAATCAGCACATAAAAGGAAAAATCATAACATTTGTTAAATGAATAAAAAAAATTCTAACAAAAAACGCAATGTCATAGGCATACATCAGTTTTCGAAGTTGCACTAAGTTCGCACAGACTTAATGGCATAATGCATACACCCATTAGGAAGTAGAACAGAAAGAATTGCATAACAAAAAAAGACCTGGGGGGCAGCAGGAGCAGAAACACGGGGAGCACTACGGCCAACCGGGGGAACAAAAGGCCCAACTATACTCCCAACACCAAACCTCCCAACCCCCACCTCAGCTAGTTCACGAGCTTTGAGAAGACCCGTAGTCCACCCTCTGAACGAAGGGAATGCCCGAGGAACAACCCTGGCCGACTGCACAACCCTGTCAACATACAGGAGCTAAAACCGGAAACGAATTACAAACTTGCACCGAATACAGAAATAGACGCACATGACTAGCACAAAAATATATTACAGTATTGAATATCATACCACCAACATAAGAGCAGGCCCAGCAAAAGTCTTAGACCGGTCAACAAACCACTTATTGTGCTCCTCCACCAAACAGTCCAACACAAACTTGCACCAGTTAAGGTTTTTTTATCTCATCAACATCTTCAAAATGATGGAATACAAGCTGATTGGCATAACCATTCTTCACCGGGGAGCCAAAAATACTAGCGGCCAGCACAGCGAAGTGGCGTTTAAACCAAACGTCACCCTCTAAACAAGACGGTGTACGAAACATGTCCCCTATCTTAACCAACCTCACATAATGACTCGAAACCTCAAATTTGGAACGCCACTCCTTAAGCATGTCGCTAACATCGTCTTTAGGCCTCTTTGTAATAGCAACGCCTCCTCGTGGCAACCCCAGCGTGGCATGGACAGCATCCTCTGTGACAGCCAGTAGTGCACCGTTGTCCAAACGCACAGACATGTTTGAAGGATCAAACTGATCTAACAGCCACCTACTCAACCGCTTGGGAAAATCCACCACCTCAAATTTCAACAACTCCCCCAATCCAATTTGCTTCACCGCTTTGCGTTGACAAGCAGTAAAATGTTTAAATTGAAACACCAAATGTCTAGGCGATCCGCGAGTATTAAGAGACGGAATAACCACCTCCAGGACCGGAAGAACTGGGGGAGACCCACTTTACACCCCGGCAGGCGGTGCCTAGACTTGAACAGTGGTAGGCACCACAACGGGGTGGACTAGTTGACCTCGATGCATAACAGACGAACCCGCAACAGGCGGAGATTCAAACGCCTCTCCATCGTTTGCTACAAAGAAAACAACAACAAAAAACATGTGTTGATACATAAATTATAACCAACATTATATAAAAATAATAATAAAAAGGAAAAACTCTTAAAATTTGACAACTGAATTAAACAAAACAAAAAAAAATACAAAATACATTGTCAAACGCAATGACCATACAATCAATAAGCACACACAGTACACATAAAAAAAAAAAAAAAACTGGCATAGACCCATGAGTTTTAATAACAAGAAAAGAAAACGTTTGTGGAATTATAAACAATAACCACAGAATATATAATAACAATGTTAAAAATCATAAAATTTGTTAAATGGATGAAAAAAAAAACTTTCAAAAAACGCAATGTCATAAGCATACACCATGCAATCACTCAGCACACAAAAGGAATACTCATAAAATTAGTTACATGAATTTAAAAAAATGTTACAAAAAAGGCAATTTCATATGCATACACCAAGCAATCACTTAGCACACAAACGGAATACTTTTAATTAAAAAAAAAAAGAACTGCATAGGCCCTAATTGTTATTTGCACAGGTCTTTATTATTTAAAAAAAATTACTGCATATGCCCCATTTGTTATTGCACACCCCGACCTGATATAATGCACAGTCACATCTCCCTAAAAAATGTACAATTAATATAGGTAGCTAACCAGATTGTGTTTCCTACCACAGCACAAAAATAGCACAAACCACATTGCCTCTATGATACATTTTCCCAACTTTATTAAGAATTTAGAGTAAAACTACCCTTTCTAATCAGAATACAAAACAATGAAATAAACATCAAAAGATACCCAAAAAAAAAAAAAAAAAAAAAGCAAATGAATTTACAAATAAACACACTCAATTCCAAACTTACAAGCTACAAAATACTTTACTCAACTTCAATTCACGAACTCGATGAGGACCAAACTTAAGTAAAACAAAAAGTTTACTGCACACGCCGATATGATATAATGCACAAAAACACCCCCGGACCCAGAAATTAAAAAAAAAAAAAAAAGATGAACCATCCTCATCCGGAAAACCTAAAAACCCAGTATCTAGAAATAGTAATAATTGTGATTTTATAACCAACACCTTTAGATAATTTTAATCACAAGAAATAAAAACAGTGATGATAAATAAATTACAACTAACATTATATAACAGTAATGTTAACACTCTTAAAATTTGACAATTTAATTGGAATAAGAAATTCAAAAAACACATAACCAAACACACAGACCATGCAAGCAACCAGCACAGGCAATAAAAATTTTAAAAAACAAAACTACTGCATAGACCCATGAGGACACATAGTTAAACGAGTTTTAAAAACATAAAAAAAAAACATGCGTTACTACATACATTATAACCACCATTATATAACAAATAATGTTCAAACTCATGAATGGGACAAATTAGTTTTTAAAAATATTTAAAAAACAGTTTAAAAGACTTTTAAAAAAAGTTTTGCATATACCTCATATGTGATATGCACAAACATGTTAATATAATAACTGTACAGTAAAGATAATATAATAATTGTACTAAACGTGGTAACTGTAATTGTAAGAACATTTGTTGGTCGAAACATTTTAATAAATAATCTGTTATAATCAACATATTCAAATAAATGTAATAATAGTGGGAAAAAACGATACATTAATTAGACCACACATTATATAATAGCAAATGTACAGACTACACACATGCATACACACACACCCCTCTCCCCACAGCAACCCCACAACCCCCCACCACCTATCATATGCTCCAAATAAAGCATCACGACCCCAAAAGATATGGCTATTGCACACGCCGAAATGGTATGACGCACATTCTCATCGCTACCCCCATACCTACAAAAAAAGAAAAAAAAAAAAAAAACAAACGCATTGAACCATCGTCTCCCCGGAAACCCTACAACCACGTTCCAAAAACCCAGAAAACCTAGAACACACTCCCCAAACCCATGAACCCGCAGTTAAAAAAAAAAAAAAAAAAAAAAAAAAAAAAAAAAAAACAACCCGACACCGACAAAACCATCCCCCAAGCAACATAGGTACCGGCGCACTGTGTAAACGACGCCCTGTAATCCACCAGAAAAAAAAAAAAAACCGGTAAAACCTAAAAATGGAGCAAATTCACCCCCCCCCCCCCCAAAGCAATGTAGCTTCCGGCGCACTGTGCAACCCTAAAAAAGGGAGCAACTCCACCCCCCACGGCCGCATAAACCACCGTGATTTAACAAAAAAAAACAAAAAAAAAAAGCGATCGTAAACCCTAAAAAACGGAGCAAAAAATCCCCCCAAAAAAAAAGGTACCGGCGCAGCTAGCCCCGCCCCCCATGCTGTTGACGACACCCCCAAACATCACACCGCCCACATGCACCACCATCAACCACTCCATATACACACCCAAAGCCGAACACACAAACAAAAGCATATGGGATACCTGGAATGCGAGCAGCAGATCCCCGCCTTTGTCTCTTGGATTGGCGTGATGAAGAACCTGCCATTCAGAACGCCGGATAATATGCTGGACGTCTGATCGCCGGAGGAGTGATCGCCGGAGACAGGAGAGAGCAGGAGCAACACCGGAGGAGAAAGAGTATTATTGGGAGACTAACAGACGGACGCGACACCACATAAGGAACGCGAATCGACAGTAATATATTTAATCATCACATAAATACCATAATTAGTGTTGCACAAGCCCATAAAATCTGCTAATCAATTATTACAACCTAATAAAGACACCATAAAAAAGACAACAACACCCCCATATGCACTAAAGACACACGCACGTGACAAAAAATTAAGATTAATTTCATCCATCCAAAAAAACAAAATAACGCACCAGATCAAGCCTCACCACCTTGCCTGACAAAGGTAACCTCACCAGATTCAATATATATATATATATATATATATATATATATATATATATATATATATATATATATATATATATATATATAGGGTCAGGTTCCTGTGAGGTCAGGTCTTCCCGCGTGGTCAGTGCGGCATACACCATTAAGTATGCATAAATGCACCACACAGTGTTTGTAAATACACCATTATGTGTGGTGTATTTTGTTTTGTGTGGTGTATTTTTTAGCATTTCATTCTGGTGTATTTTCGAACACTGTATGGTGCATTTATGCATACCTAATGGTGTATGCCGCACTGACCGCACGGGAAGACTTGACCTCACAGGAACCAATATATATATATATATATATATATATATATATATATATATATATATATATATATATATATATATATATATATATATATATATATTTGGGATCATCATATGAGAATATATACTTGTTTAGGTGAGAACGTGAGAACAAATCATGTGTATCCATCTAATATTTTTTAATGATTTAAATTAGATTAACTGTGTGCGAACGCGAATTAAATGTGTGCAAACGCGATTAAGTGTGTTTGCACACATTTAATTCGTGTTCGCACACACTTAATCTAATCTAGACTGTTAAAAAATATTAGATAGATGCACACGATTTGTATACGCACCTTAAACATTAAAATGGCGCACCTTAAGTACACAAACCACGCATCTCAAGTATATAAATAAATAAAACACCTTAAAAACACAAACCACGTACCTTAAGAACACAAACCACGCACCTTAACACACAACAAAGCACCTTAAGAACACAAACCACGCACCAAAGGTTTTAAAATGGTTCACCGCCTTATGTTTCACACAACTAACACACCTTAATTAATCATACAAATCACACACCTTAAAAGAAAACAACGCCCCTTAAGAAGAAAACTCATGCACTTTAAGTTTCAACAACTACTCACATTAAGCACAAAACTCACGCACTTTAAGCACAGAACTCACACACCTTAAGCACAAAACACATGCACTTAAAGTTTCAACAACTACTCACATTAAGTACACAACCACGCACCTTAAGCACAAAACTCACGCACCTTAAGCACAAAATCAACGCACCTTAAGCACAAAACTCATGCACCTTAAGCACAAAAAAAAAAATCACGCACCTTAAATTTGACCTAGATGCAAAAATTATCAAATTGCCACCGCGTTTTTTATTTTATTTTATTTATTTTGATAATCCTGGACGTTGATTTAAACAAAATCAATGGCTCTCCTCTCACTGCACAACCGCACATGGGCGCACCAACCGCACCTGAACCTAATTATTAGTCCTCAAGATTAATCTAATAAACTTTTTGGATATGTTTTTGTATAAATCCAAGACCCTTTTAATATGAAATTAGTACCATACACAATGCACAATTAAAAAGTACGTGCATAATGATGAATAAAAAGTCTGTAAGTATTTAATAAAAATAAATGTAATATCACATAATTAATCTTATAATATATCTATCATCAGATGTAACACTGATAATAACAGACTTTATATTTACAAATATAATCTTTAAAAAAAAAATTGAACTTGATTGATTATTAGCATGCATGGCTGCATGGTCATTTATATACATTATATATAGGTGTTCTGATCTATCAGTGTATATAGTTCTCTTTAATGCATTGACCGTTTTAACTTTTCAACAATCATATATAATACGGAGTAGCATATTTGAATAGCACAATTTGATTTCATTTTAATTTCTACTTTAATATAACATATAAAATCACTAAATATTTAGAGAATATAAGTAGCATTGTAATATTCAATCTCAGTTTTTAAATAATAAACATTTGGTTGGGGAATTCTAAAACTCAAACAATGAATTTCAGAATTAAAACACAAATCTAAAATTAAATTAACTTAAATTTAAGTTTAAAAGTAATATATTAAAAGAAATATTGTAACTTTATGATTTCAAATGTAATATTTTATTAATTCATGTAAATTAGATCTATAAGAAGTAGTCCCTGTACTATAATGTTTTGTTCAATTTAGTCATTGCACCTTTATTCTGTTCAATTTAGTCCATCTACTTTAAAAAGTGGTGAAACTAAGGACAATTGTCCGAATCTTATTCGAAACATGGTTGTAATGATTTATTTTGGACATACTAATTTAATATATTGGTGATAAAAATTATTAATTTTAAATATTTATAAAGTAATATATGAGTAGGAATATAAATATAGTCAACGCCGTGTAACCTAAGGGGGGTGTATTCAATCATGATTTTTGTAGAGTTTTAAAGACTTTTAAAATGATACTCCCTCCGTCTCATTTTATCTGTCTTACTTTCCTTTTTAGTTTGTCCCAAAATAGTGTCATCTTTCCAAAATTGAACATAACTATTAATCTACATTTTCCAATTTACCCTTTTGACTTTTCAAATTTTTAGAGATAAGTACAATTGTACTTTGTACAAATAACACTTACTTTTGAGGGGCAAAATTGGAAAGTTAGTAACATTTGATATGTTGTATTAAAACCCTTGCAAAAAGCAAATGAGACAATCAATTAGGGACGGAGGGAGTAGATTTTAATAAACTTTGATTGACTTTCATAGATTCGTTCAAAACATTTTAAAACTTTATAAGACTACATAAAAGTCTATATAAAAAAATATTCATAGACTTTTATCAAATTTTTATTTTAAAAAGTCTACAAAAGTCATTGAAATTCTAAATTGAATACATCCTTACAAACTTTCAATGATTTTGATTCTAATCATTTATAATTTTCTTACAAAACATTTATAATATATCATAAAATTCTTCTTATTATATTGTTTTTCACCTACATCGACATTCTCAACATTATTATTTTTATCCATAGTATGCTGATACTTATATGCTAATTACTTATATATATTATTAATAAACATCAACAGAAAAACTATTTCATTAGAAATTCAGAACAATAAAATTTATAATAAAAGACTTGATCAAATAAAATATTTAAAAATATAATTACAAGTTGCATAAAATAAAAAAAATAAAAATCTAATATTAATAATGTATATAAAATTATCCTTGATATATTGCTAGGCATCATGCAAAGAAGTATTATTTGCAATAGCAATTTGAGACTGCAAACAACAACAAGGTGCTACTGTTTGTAACTCCAAATTGTTGTTGCGAATAGTAATTCGCTATACGTAGTAACCTGTTGTTAAAAAAATGAAAAATATATATTAGGAATATAAACATAAAAATAAAAAAAAATCAAAATATATAAGTATTTATATGAATATTATGAAACATATACTAAAATTTGACGATGAAAAATTTTGCTTTGTTCATGTATTTAGGAAGAATTAGAGAAAATTAGGGATAAAAAAATTCATAGAAAAAAATAAAAACCAATATAAACAAGCAATAATGAAGTAAAAATAATATTATTTCGAATTTTTAGATGAAGATTCTAAAGTTTAGGAGAGAGAGAAAAATTGGTTGAGTTTAGGTATGAGGAAAATATAAGATAATGAAGAAAAAAATAATTTTATTGAATTTAGATAGGTTTATAGAGTTTAAATAGAGAGAAAAAGTAATTTTCAAAAAAAAAAAAAAAAAATAGAGAGAAAAAGTAGAGTTTAAATAGAGAGAGAAAACATTCAAAGTTGTTAGAAAGAAAATTTGAAATCTTGGGGTTGATGGTTGGATTTCAACTATTTATATTTGAGAAGGAAAAGTCTACAAAAGTCTTAAAATTAAAAAGTCTACAAAAGTTCATAATTTTTTGAATACCACATGACTTTTAAAGACTCTTTAAAAGTCTTAATTGAATACCACACGACTTTTAAAGACTCTTTAAAAATCTTGATTGAATACCGCCTAACTTTTAAAGACTCTCTAAAAGTTTGAATTGAATACCTCCAAACTTTTAAAGTTCATAAAAGTCTTTAAAACTCTATGAAAGTCATGATTGAATACACCCCCTTTAGTATTATTTCTAAAGTTCATACTTAATTTTGATAAAAATAAATCCAAATTAATGATTATGTTATGTAGAAATTTAGATATTTCACCATTTAAACTAACTCGAATAAAACTTCACTTGTACATCCTGCTCTGGAATCTAGCTTGGTTTTTCACTACAGTTAATGCTACGAATGTGATTAATAATAATAATAATAATAATAATAATAATAATAATAATAATAATAATAATAATAATAATAATAATAATATGATATAAAATGCAATAACTTGAATATACTTTCATCCATCTTCTTCTGGTTAATTTCAGATATTTTCGGTATATGTAATATTTGAAATGTGACTTATAATATAATATTTTATATATAAAGAGAAAATAACCCGAGTCACAAAATGGGATAGATTTATGTGAGAATGATGTTGTATATATATATATATATATATATATATATATATATATATATATATATATATATATATATATATATATATATATATATATATAAAATAGGGACGCACTCAGGTGCAAGTGCGAATAAGTGCCCAGGAAGGAAATGCGGACGAATCAGCACGCGACACGTGTCCAGGTCTAATAAATTTTAAAAAAGACGCGGTGGCATTTTCGTAAATAATTGAACATCTAGATGCAAGTAAAATCATTTACAAGTGCATCTACTTTCACCTATAAGTGCATGTAATTTTGTCTTGTTAGCATTCACTTTCCGCAAACATTCATGCACCTGGGTGTGCATATAACTATATGTGCAACTATTTATAACTATAGGTGCAAATACTTATAACTATAGGTGCACCTACTTTCACCTATAAGTGCATGTAATTTTGCCTAGTTAACATTCATTGGTCTGAGTTCAGCGGGTTGTAATACCCCTGAAAACCACTCGCAAACATTCATACACCTAGGTGCAACTACTTATAACTATGTGTGCAACTACTTAGAACTATAGGTGCAACTAAGTATTGATGCTCTGTGTAAATTTTTACTTGCACCTATAATACATTTTACATGCACTTGTAATACATTTTACTTGCACTTCGATGTTCAATTATTTACGAAAATACCACCGCATTTTTAAAAAAGATCAGTATTTCTCATCCATAAGATCTGGACACGTGAACGAACAGAATTCATTCCTATTTCGCGCCTAGGCGAAGCGTTCGCACCTGAGTGCGATTCATATATAATAAATAAAAATCTTGAAATGGGGAAGGTGTGCAAAATGTAGTTTGGTGTAGGCATTTACTCTTTGATCTGACTTTTGTTGCCCATTGTACACTACATCTCTCTCCCTCTCAAATTGACTTCCTACCTGCTCTCTTCCATTAAATTCACCTCAGCTCCAATCGCCTCCCTCGATCTGCTTCAAGGGAATGTAACTTTTTTTTTTTTTTTTTTTTTTTTTTTTTTTTTTTTTATGGAACAAAAAGAATTAAATTGTAAATAATTTAAGCATTTTAAATAATTGATAAATAATAATAAATTTTAATTAAAAAGGTAGTATATCCTACAAAAGTGGCTGGTTCTCCAAGAAATAAAATGTAAAGTCTTTATAAATTGGAGACCTAATTGTTTTAGTGCTATTGTGATATTTCAATAGAATATAGAATGTGATATAGAACTTATACTTTGTCTGGCAAGTTAGCTAAAAAAGTATCATTAACTTTTATTTGTTTTCAACAATTAGTTACCTAGTTAAAAACTTTGTCATTTAACTTTGCTATTGTTCCCAAAACAATGTAAACTTATTTGTTTTCAACAATTAGTTACCTAGCTAGTTAAAACAATGTCATTTAACTTTTAATAAAGATAACTCGAGTGAATTCCATTTTTAGTCCTACTGTTATAGGGACGTTTCCAATTTCAGTCCACATTAATTTTTTTTGCCACTTTATAACCACTGTTATTGAATATGTTCCACTTTTAGTCAAACGTTAATATTTCCGTCAAGAGGCCGTATAATCAAAGAGTATTTTGGTCTTTTTATGTTTGTCTCTTCTCTTTTAATCCAGGCGCTTCGTCCTCCTCCTCCGGTATTCGAAGATGGCTCTTCAAACAACGAGAATGGGAAGCCAAAGCTACATCGTTTCGTTCGTTCCAACATGGGCCGGCGAGGTTTCTTAGGTTTAATGTTCCCATTTCTTTAGTCAAACATAGTCTTGGATGAGAAGAAATGTCAAAATACCCCTAGATTACACGGCCTCTTGATGGAAATACTAACGGTGGGACTACAAGTGGAACACATTCAATAATAGTGGTTATAAAGTGGCAAAAAAAATTAAGGTGGACTAAAATTAGAAACGCCCCTATAACAGTAGGACCAAAAATGGAATTCACTCAGATAACTCGCATGTAATTTGTTCATTCAAATTTCATGTCGAACATGTAGTTTTCATCTTTCTCTTGTAAGCTCTATTAATTGAATAATAAAATTACATGTTAATTATTTTGTTTAAATTATTTTATAATAAAAATTTAAATTAAGAACTAATTGTGTCAATCAAATAAAAGTCAATGATGTAATATCTCTGATTGGTTCCTAGTTCTCTCTTGGAAAGTGGTTGATACAAGAGTGTGCCCCATATATATATATATATATATATATATATATATATATATATATATATATATATATATATATATATATATATATATAGTCATGTCATTTATAGTGCTTATATGTAGTCATGTCATTAGGTGTAGCGATGTGGTCGTATCTGTGTCGTTGAATCAGTTTAATCTAACAGCAGTGGTAATTCTGAAGATTTTCGCACGTTTTGGTAAGTGGGGGTGTTATGGGAATTACAGTGGCCATTTATAGCGGGCGGGTTGCAGAATACACCAACAGTGTTGACAACATGCACCAATAGTGTAATAAAATACACTACAGTGAAACACACCAATGGTGTATTCCCGTGTTATGGTAATTACAGTGGCCATTTATGGCGGTCGAGTTCCAGAATACACCAACAATGTTGACAACATGCACCAATAGTGTAATAAAACACACAACAATGTGATTTTTTACTATTCCGGTGTTTTATGACGAGTTTACCCTTGCAGTTCGCTGGGTAGGAGAATGTGCGCCAAAATACTGGAAGAATCTTGATTAATATGATTCATTGGATCTATATAATCTAATGCCCTATAATTGACCATATGACCACACCTAACAACATGGCCACATGTGATCACCCTTCTCATTCTCTCTCTCTCTCTCTCTCTCTCTCTCTCTCTCCCTCTCTCTCTCTCTCTCTCTCTCTATATATATATATATATATATATATATATATATATATATATATATATATATATATATATATATATAGTCAGGTTCGGATGCAGCAGCTTTTCCAAGTGTAGATAGATTTGGACCATCGGATGAACTCATATCAATGGTTGGAAATCAATAGAAAGGGAAAAAATGGGGTAGAGTGTTCACCAAGGAACTTCTAACAAAGGGTAGGTTGGGAATCAATAGAAAGGTTCGGTTGTAACAGTTTCTCCAGGACAATGTCCCCCTTTTTTTTTTTTTTTTTTTTTTTAGCATCTGAGTCCATGGAAAAGCCCTTTTTGTTTTTATT